ATAAGGTAAATTTAAATTTAACCATGACATAAAATACAATACCGGTAATTATTTTTGATAGCTAAAACTGAACTCCGTTCCGGCTAAGCATAGACTAGGGATGATGCTACTGAAATGTGATAATGTAGAGTATATCATAGTCGGGCCGGATTTCAAGTATAGTGAATTATGAATTATCAGAACGGAGAGCCTCTTGGAATTTCATGGTAAAACAGGTACAAACAGGATTGGTTTTAGGTAGCCGGCCAACTTGTCGTTTTCTCAACAGCTGGCGGTCACTAGATACTAGGGCAACTAGTAAAATGGCAAATTTTACAACGATACACGGAAACCTAATCCCGATTAGAAACGTCGAATATTTAAAAAAAAACAATGCCACATTGAACCAAGTCTTGCGGACAATGTTTAATTAATATTATGAACGTGACAGCCAACAACATTATGGATATCGACATTTTGTCAGTAAAAAGCAAACTGCGGAATAAGACGATAATTTAGAAATAACTATTTTTATATGTCAAGAGGTCATAGCCCAAAGTATATTAGCGTCATAAGATTTTAAGCAAACTATTATTAATGCAACAACAATAGTCAACAACGAAGACCGTTTTATTCAATTAAAAAATAAAAATAAATTATAGTTATAATTTATAATTGTCAATCATATTTAGTTTTAATTTACAAGCTCGATAGGATCGATCATAATGAAAAATATGAAGTTGTAGAAATTAAGCCATAAGCTTCTTCTGTTAAAAACTTAAATCATTACAAAATCTTGATGTTAAGTTAAAATCAAAACTTTCATATCAGTTGTCAAATTAACTAGGCATGATGAAAAATTGATGAAAATACAGTGATGAGGTAACATAAAATATTTTATAATTATATTTTTGTAAATGGGTAAAACCATAGTCATAAATTCTAAAAATATATTGCCATTTACATTTTACCCCATACAAATTACAATTTTATTAATTTAAAGTAAATTTAAAGAATAACAATTTACACATAGGATTTAGATCTGTAAATATTTTTTACAGCTTTGATTTTAACGTAATGAGTGTGGCGGGGAGATATAACGATTATTTACTCCACAGGGAATTTAAAAATGTTCAAGAAAATTAACTCTAGTATAGTGCAAAAACCTAAAAAAAAAAAAAACCAATTACTTTTAAAGAAACACGCGAAAAAATCAGAACGGGATACTATTTTTACAAATGGTCGAAAGAGAAACTTTTTTTTTCGCTCGCGCATTTTGGTTTTTAAATATTATCCAGTATCCTGTCAGGAGCGATGGTTGCCAAGGGAAACTATTAAAATGTATTTAATTGTGTAACGATGTATTTAAAGCCAGAAAGTGCGTCGTAGCAAAAAACAGACGTGCAGTGTCTCAAAAATGATGAAGCTGTGATGGCGGTAGCAATTGTCGAGATAATGCGTCAACGCGCATCCGGCATGAAAATAAGTCAACAAAGAAACTCGTTTTTTTTTTTATTATTATAAAGCAGTAGTTCTTGGCACAGCGTCCAAGAAAACTCGACGGCCACAAAATACCGTTTAGAATCGGTAAACGAGACGCAACACTACCAGCGCGGCGGCAGTGATGTCCAACCGCGGCCATTCTGGTTTGTTTTTATAATCTTTTTAATAGCCATTGTCGCATCGTGCTGTTGTGGCCACTGCCCTTTACAATCACAAAAAGAGTTCAGCGAAATTGCGCAAAACTCGACACGTTCTATGAAATTGCGCCTGTATATATTACAACAAGCGCGCACATGTGTGTATAAACTCAACACGTGGATAGTTATAATGCAATATACGTAACGAAACATAAATTATATTAACTAAACTAATACTATCAATACTGTTGTGTTCAAGGCTGGTCATTAACGCCACAGCTCAAGAAAAAATAATTACTTAATCTGTGTTACCTGTCAACTGTTCACATGTGATATGTTTTAATTAGTCAAATTTAATGAGTGGAATGAGTTTTTAAGTTTTCAATTACAACATTAATTAAATAACATCATTTAATTCAATATACCGTGTTTTTTTCTTTAAAAAAATTAGATTCTAAACTTAAATTAAAGATAAAATTAATTGGTCCAGTAAACAATCTTTATAAAAATATTAATAATTACTACAAGTGATTGTTTTTTTATAATTAAACAACAATTTATTTATTTTTATATTTTAACTTTTTATGCTCACTAACAAAAGAAAACAGAAAGACATTTGGGTAAATAAATTAATATAGAAACATTTAGTTGTTGAGTACTCTTGAGGACAAGTCCTAAGTCCTAACTAAAGAATGTATCAGTGAATTCTGCAGAGTACCTAAATAAACATTTTTATTTATAAGGACTAAACTATTATTTTAATTAAAAATAATAATAGTAATGATAATTGAGGAAGTATGGGTTTTTACGTTTTTTAAATTTTTGGTATACAATTCAGTTTTTTTAAATATTTGTTAATAAAGTCATCGAATTCTGAGGTCATTGACCTAGGTTTAGGGTACATTTGAATTATTTATATAAAGTTAAGGGATAAATCATTTTAAAATACATTTGTTCTGTAAAGGTAAGACCATCTAGGAAAAATACATCCTAGGTGTGTTTCTGATAGCCTACTTAGAGGTTAGATTGGTCAAATAAACTAAACAGCCTAGATTAATGTATTCATATTTAATCTAATATAATAATAAGGGTGTATTGCATTTGCATAATATCTTAAGTATAAAAATAAATTAAATTTTTTTAAAAATATATTTAACACATTATGCCAGAAAAAATGTAGTTATAAAAACTAGTACTTTAAACAAACAGGTTTCATTATTGCCCGAAGTTTAAAAAAGATTCTATAAATTAATTTTAATAAAAGTTTATTAAATAACCTACATTCCTACTAATCATTTTAGGGTCCTAAAACTATTTCAACTGTTATTTATTTTTCCTGACATAAAATTGTGTTTATTAACAGTACATGAAAAATATGTGATTTATAACTAGGGTATCAAATTAGTCAATTAGTTTAATTAATTTTTTTTTACAAATAACATCAGTACTTGTGGGTTATCGCAACTATAGCCACCTTATTGGTACTACCTTGGCGTAATGCTGCGCTGTTTATCTCTTGTCAAATAATGCTACATAATATATTTTACAAAATATGAAATGTAAAGCCTTCATAAATGAAATACGATTATTTGCAAACCTATTGTCAACACAAATGTTAATCTTTTATTTACAAGTTTTCACATCACGCTTCCAGAAAACTTTCCCCCAAAATATATTTTAGCATTGTGACCGTTTAAACATATTTTTGTAAAATAAAATATTTTTTTCAGTAGAAAATGATGGCATTTTTTCTGAAAATACCAAAGATTCATTGTCATTAAAATTGTAAGGAAATAAAAAAAGAAGCGATTACCAGAATGGTTCTGATTGACATTGATGATAGTATTATGTTAAACTGTAGTCTACATAATTACCCTCAGAAATATATGATAAAGGCAGTTGCAATAATCCACATGTAGTGTGTGATAGTCGTAAGTACTATAACATCATTAAAATATAATGCAAAATAAATGAGTGGATTTTTTTCCAAAGGAAACAAAGAAAACTTGACTTAACTTAGATTAGAAAGGAATTAATTACGTTATTATACTTGAATAATAAAATAATCATTTTATATAAAACACTTAAGTTAACATCATTTTTTTTCTTAATGCTGATTAAAACTAATTTGTTGATTGACCATTAGTTTAATTTTACAGCTGACGTTAGCTTACAATAGTGTTAGTTTTGTGATAAGAAGGGTACAGAGAAAGACTAGTAATCACTTTTTTTTTAAAGAAAAAAATGTTTACAAATGTTAAAAACATTAATAAAAATGCATTACATCAAAACATGACTTTCCTGTACCCTTCATATATACGTAACAGAATTTCACTGACATTGGCATGATTTGAAATCGGTATCAATATTCAATGTAGGTAGGTGCATTTTCTAATGGGAGACTAAACTATTTTTCATATTATATAAGTAAAAACTTTAAAAACATAGTTAATTTGTATAATATATATATATATATATATATATAGACAATTAATATCATACTATCATACTATGTAAGTACTGTAGATGATTGAATTATCAAAGTCATCCTTTTATTTTTCTCATAGTTGAGAATGACCTTTCACTATATGATAAGAATCGTTACAGCAAGTAAAACATATTTTTAAGTTATTTTTATTATTATGAATATCAATAATTATTAAATTACTTGTTGATTAATTTCCAATATCCTCTGTACCTATATAATTTTTCATTTTCTTCGCTTACATATTGTATTTAATTTTTGAATGCAGTTATTAAATATTTGGAAAAAAGTTTTGAAATATATTATTTGCATATTCTATTTTTAATTATTTAAGTAAAATATAGGTATAAGATGTCTATATTTTTTTACTAAAGGTCCTAGATTCTTTAAACCTTTTTTTTTAGAGCAACTATGAACTTGCATGTGAAATGATGACCACAACATAGCTCTTTAAACCAATTTATGATTTTTGATCTACTTGAGTAGACAGGTACAACATTTAAAATTAAGATTTATGCATAATACAATAGCTAATATTATTAATATGGTTATTTAACGAGATACGAATACAAATATGTATAAATCGTAATATGGGGAAATTACCAGACAAGTTCATTGAACAATGACGAATGTATTTCTGTATTTCTATTGCAAAAGATACAACGCTATATTGGTAATTAATATTAAATAATAGGATATATATATATATATATATAATCCAATAACTATTCAATTTAACCTAAACGGACATAATAGAGAAAAATTGTTTTTATACTTGATTTACGCCTAAACTACTGATAGACAGGTTAGGTGCGCTTAAGTAATTTTGAAGCCGAACAGATGTATATCAGTCATCATCCTTAGTCCTAAATATAATACAAAACAAATGTGCATACCTGTAACTTTTTTAGCCGTCCGTCTCTGGCCGAATAGAATACGGAGGCAGCTATGGTTTCGATGTCGTTCATATTACATCCGCCGTCGTCGGACCTAACACGATGACATGTCGTCAGCAGCCTCGAGGCACGTGTACGGAGAGCCGTTTTTACGTTTGTCAGTTTACGATTGGTGACTTAATGAGATCGACTTTTTTGTCGGCCTTCAAATTTCTTCGTACACAAAACGCGAATTCGGAATATTTAAAAAATAAATCGACGAATAAAAATTCCTATTTCGATTGAAAAATGAATTTTGTTCCTCGATAAAACGAACTTAACAGTCTAACGTACCAACTCGAAACATTAACAACAAAAAATATTATAATACACGTTAATGACTTTGATATTGTTATTCTTTACGGTTGGCGGAAATACTGAATGTCTGAATAGTCGTCAACGTCGAGTTTTGTGCCACAACAACAACAACAGCAGCTGGTGCCTGTGATATAGTTGCAGCAGTGACCACTGACACAACCAGACTGTTCACTGTTGGTGACGACCACGGATCGCGGCACGGTGCTGATTGGATGTAGAAAAAACAACGATGGTTAGCTGGCGGTCGTTCGCTTTGTGTTTGTGTGTTGACCTTGGTCGGTTTCGACGGCGGCCATCGGCTCTTCCGCGGTCCATCAGAAAAACGTACTGATACAGCACACGACAGCTGCAGCCGCTGTCCCACACTCGCCAGCTGTTACAGCCTGCTGTGGTAACGAATGTACCACTCTATCGCCGCCCCCGGTTACCCGGTTATCTGATCTACGCCTGTGATAACGCATCCGATCAGCTGTAGATAAGGTGAGTAAATAATTATAAATAAAAATACATACTTAAAATACACAAAGATAAAGATTGATTTTTTGTCTTGTTTGTAAACGTGTATACGATCAGCGTATTTACGTCGTTCACGTGTTTGGTTGTTTTTGTATTTTTTTTTTTTGCTATAATGTTCTTCCCTGCCGTCACCCGAAATTGAGGTCCGTTGAATTTATTTAAAGCTCACCGTCATGACCGCCGTCAAAACGTGTCGGTCGACAAAGTGCGCACAGAACTGGCGTATCGCCAACGCCGTACGCCTGTCATGTTTTTTACCGCTTGCCGTTCGACAACGACCATGACAATAATATTGTGCACTGTGCAGTAACTGGATTAACAGTATCGCAAAAAAACATTGACTGATCTGACATTTTTAAATCGTGATCGCATTATGCACCCTTCCAAGGGACTGTTTCGAAACGTTTATTTCCAGCCATACAACGATCGGAGAAACGTGAAACTATATACTGCCGCTAAAGGTGCGTACAGCCGTTGATTGTGCCGGACTCTTTACAAAACAATAACCACAGTCAAGAACAAAGGGGAATTGGTTAGGCTTTCGAAATGTAGACTTGGTAGTATAATATATAGGAATGAATCATTATTCTGTTGAGTCTATAGGGTTTTGCATTCTTAATACATTCTAATTTCTATACATTTTAATTTTACTGCCAACAAGCCTCCAAAAACAAGAATTATACCCATAGGCACAACTAGACCTACATTTTATGGGGTGCTAAAATTATGTATACCTGACTAGAGATTCTAACCAGTTTTATCTGGTTGCAGTTAAGATAATCTGAAACTATCTGGTCAGAAAAACATATATTTTAACTATTAGATATAAAATAAAATATTTGAAAACACAATTATAAAAAAAAAAAAAAAATGTTACCTTATAGTATGTACATTATTTAAATTTTATGCGTACAAATCAAGGATTGGGGTTTGAAGATTTAGGTAAGCTAATTTTGAGTCTGGGGGTGCCAAAGTCCCCCTAGCATCTATAGTTGCGCCTATGATTATACTTAAATACCACACCACAAAATTATTTGTAATTTGCCATGGTATAAATAATAAAGTTACAATAATGAACTCAAAATACCGATTAGCTTACAAGAAGCGCTAGGAAACCAACCCTACAACGTAAAAATAATTGATTTTTTTAAAATAATAAAACTATATGACAAAATGTAGTCATTATTTTCTATGTATACTATAGCCCTTATTTAGTCATGAATATAGAATTATTGTTAAATGTATGGCTAATGAATCCAGAAGTCGAGGCCCTTATTACAATAATAAAAAAAAAAGTTACAATAACATAAGCTGAGTAAAAAACACGTCCTACAAATTGGAAAACTACAGATTTCCAGACTAAGTTAAAATTTAGTTTCCCATAGATAATTTTGTGTTCTCACCCTAAAACATAATATATTTTGATTGAAAATAAACTACTATCAAGACGCATATGAGAGTGCAAGTAGCCTCCGTGGCCTGGGTAGCAAAGTGAAGAGCAGTGAATATAAAACTATATAAGCCATTCATTTTTTAGGAATAGAAGGTCGTTATAAAAGTTTAGCAGAATGTTCAAGCATAATTATTTGAATCATTTTATGTGCGAAAAACTCAAATAAAGATTAAATTAATTTGTAATTATGTTTTGGTAATATTTTTTTTAAACATAACTTTGTGTAAATATAATATATATTATATATTATAAATAAAATAAGAACAGCTTAATTCAACTTTACCACCCCATACCCAAATTAAAACATTTTTTTTATTCATTGATGGTGCAAAAAAAATAGTAGAAACACTTAGTTTTGAAGTTACAGCTACTTGAACTTAGAGAATTATTATTGAGAATTAATTACACACCTTCCGACCTTTGGGGCACTCGTACTGTCAATGGCGCAACCAGTTGCAACTGTCAATCACGTTAATCACAATTGAAGAACACAGAAGTTTGTTACAAATTCGTTAGCAATTAACTACCAGGGTTGGTTGGAAGGCACTAGGTTGGTCTCAAGGCTACGGTTGTATCGTTAGATTACTGACCACTTACAGAGAAGTATCATGTTAACTTTTTTATTCCCTTTAGGTGAACTATTTTTTCCTCCGGTGGTTTGAAGATGTGTGCCCCATCCTCACGAGAGTCCCATAGTGGCTCGAGTTGACTTCTGGAGCCGGCAGGCAAAGGCAGTTGCTTTACATATATATATTTTTTTTAACTTAAACTAAATTAAATTGTTCAATTGTAACTTACGTTGCCGACTGCTGCACCTGTTTGGCACTGGTGCTGCAGAGGTCCACTAGCGTCTGGTGCAACAGTAATATTCTCTAAATTCTAGTAGCTGTAACTTCACAACCAAGCGTTGCTGTAAATTAATTTTTGCTCCATAATTTTCAGCATGGAAAAACAAATCGATAGAAAAAACAAAATTGAAATTTAGGCATGGTGGTAAAATCGATTTGTTTCATAAGAACATATTGATATTGAAATAAATATTTTCAAGATTTTTAAAGATTACTCCTTTCATTTATTGTAAACCAGTAATATGGTAGTGGTACGGAGCTAAGTAAAAAAAATGTCGTAGTGCCCACCACTGTGTATATTATACATGAAGTGTCGCAATCCCATTAAACGCGTGTAAATGTTACCATAAATTTTGCGCCTTTTTTGTGAGTGAAAATTTGAACACAACTGATTATACAAACATATAGGTTGGTTGAATACTTTATATGCACTTCATACACTTTATTATGTTATAAGTTATGACTTATTAAAACACTTTAAGTTTGTATATTTTTTAAAAATATTAATATAGTTAGACTATAATATGGCTGCTTGCAAATATATATAATGTATATATATATATATATTTTTTATTTTTACAGACAGCAAGCATTTAGTGGAGAGGATATCATTAGAAAAAGTGTTAGAAAGCCATCGTGGTTGTGTGAACTCATTAAATTGGAATGATTCTGGTAGCTTATTGTTATCTGCTGGTGATGATAAGCGTTTACTGATCACAGATCCATTTTCTTACAAAGTGAATTTGGATTATGCTACTAATCATAAAACCAATATACTTTGTGCTAAATTTTTGCCTACTTCAAATAACAGGATAATTTCATGTGGTGGAGATGGAGCTATTCTTAATCTTGGTACAGTAGAAAATAATAATTTTGTATTTTTTAAAAGTTGTATTACTATTTGTTACATTTTTTATTTGTTTAGATCTAGAGCGGTTAGATGAATCATGTTGGAATTTTTTCACTTGTCACAAAGGCACCTGTTATGAATTAGAAACATTACCAGGGGAGCCTCATAGTTTTATTAGCTGTGGAGAGGACGGAACTGTTCGTGAATTTGATCTCAGAAGTCGTGTGAAATGTACAAAACGTCATTGTCCTGAGGTAAATGTAAATCATTTTGTTATTTATTTGTATAACGTAATTTAAATTTAATGAATTTTAATTTTAATTTAGGTCGTGTTGCTTGATTGTGGTAATCCAGTTAACGCTATTGCTTTAAATCCAGTAAAACCATATCAACTTGCAGTTGCAACGTCAGACAGTATAGTTAGAATAGTAGATAGACGTAAAATAGTTCAGCAAGGTAATTATTAATAATGTAATATATTTTATCAAAGTGTTTAAAAATAGACATGGTTTTAATGTTCGTTAACATGGGTTGCATACTCAAAAAAAATTGTGTTAGCATCATTTTTTGCAACACCTTTTACGGGAAATTTATTTCGCGTAACTATGATTGTGATACTTTAATAGGAACTGAATAACAGGTCCATAGGATATGTTTGCACCTCGTTACAGCCGAAAAACATCTATGCTTCATTTTTCCGTGAAGTGGAGATAGTTACTTTAGATATTCCTTAGTAATTATTTTTGTAAGTTTTATGTTAATCGATTATTCAATTTTTATGTTTCAGGTTTTACAAAAAAAATTATTCCAGAATACACCTTTACAGTTCCTCATTTGAACCATCGTTCCTATCGCATGACATCATTGTCATTTTCACCTGATGGCGGAGAAATGTTAGTTAGTTATTCAAATGAAAATATATATTTATTCAATGTTGATAAACAAAATTCAAATGGGACAGTTGTTGTAAACGATTATCTAAAAAATCCACCTAAACCACCACCTTACAGGCATCTTAGAGTGAGAGGCGATTGGACGGACACAGGACCATTAGCTAGGCCATCTCATCGTATGTTTAATAAACTGAATACCGTGTATATGTTTCTTTTTTGATTTTGTGTTGTCTTATTAGCTTCATTGAATAGATCAAGATTTGATTCAACGTTAATGGGAAGAATGACAGTGATGTTAGTACATGTATTGAATACACCCTCATTACGATCAGTCGTAATGCAAGATTGTAAGTGGAATAAATACATAATATTTTAGATTCAATTTATGTATATATATTTATACATATACATATATTCTTTAATAGATGGACGCAGTAATTTTTTAAATCCATCTCGAATAGAACTAAGAAATAATAATAATGAGACGAATGCTGGTAGCTCATCGGCAAGTATTCCAAATGAAATTTTAGAAGTAGTCGATGCTACAAATGAAGAAGTTCCTATGGATGTTGATGTTGAAAGTATTCTCACTACAAGGTGAGTTTATTAATTAATCAATTAGTTATTGATTATTATTTAATTTTTAATAACTGATAATGAAATTTTAAAGTTTACTATTTCAAATTTAAATACTTAATCTGTTAATATTAATAATATTTTTAGTCCACCTTCCAACACTCATCTTGAACAATCAAGTTCAAATATTAATAACCCAACAATTGAAAAATGCAAGTATCTAAAAAAAAAGTATCCTCAACATCCAGAATTTGACGATAATGTGCCTGTTCAGCCAATCATACGACAATATAAAGGTCATCGAAATTCAAGGTATGTTAATAGATTTCTAATACATATAAATTATAATTAAATATCTTGATTTCTACACGTTTTTTGATATAGAACTATGATCAAGGAAGCTGTGTTCTGGGGCAATGATTTTATTATGTCTGGCAGTGATTGTGGTCATGTGTTTGTTTGGGATCGTCAAACTTGTGAAATAGTCATGTTGTTGTTGGCGGATAGTCATGTAGTTAACTGTATTAAACCACATCCTACTTTACCTTTGTTGGCTACTTCTGGAATTGATCATAATGTTAAACTGTGGAGTCCACGAGCCGAAGATAGCAGGTTTTCCAGGTCCTATGCAGACGAGGTATACATTTTATGAAATTGAATATTTTAGAATAGCAGTTAAATATACTGCTAATATTAAGTGACTACTACAGTTTAGTTTTAAAATGTTTATTATTTTTTAATGAGAAATTTCTACAATTTGTAAATTATTATTATCCCATTTGTTGTAAAAGTTTTATAAATTTTAATTTTTGATGCCTCCCCCCCCCCTATATAAATAAAACTTGTTATTATGGATATATCGGTAGCTTTTATGATTATATCATTTTTGAATTTAAGTAAAAATATACAGGAATAAATAAAAATTTATAATTTTGGTTAAATAAGTACAATTTTAAATCCCCAACAAAAACCTAACAGTAAAAAAGGGCCAAGTTTCAGACCACCACCCAAAAAGTCATCCTATCAAAGTAGTGATATCTACATTGTGGCCAAGTCTGCTATTTCTTTAGTTCATAACCACACTTCACTCCTACTTTCATGAGAAATACTGCTCTTTTATTTGTATTGCTTAACACTTTTTTCTGCTACTTATGTAATACACTAGATCTTATGCTTCATCGGGCATATTACTTTTTAAATAAATCACCCTCTTTAAAAGACCATTGACTAGTAAAAAATTTAAAAACTATTTAAAATGCTACCGAAACCATTAGAACATGTATTTCTACAATAATGTTTTTCTATATAGTTCTAAACTGTATATGACAATGGATAGATAGCGTACCGTGTTTAAATAAAATCATAAAATACAGAGTGAATATTGTATTTAATTTACTATAATGCAGTTTTCAGTTATTTTAGACTTAATTTAAATAGTTGGGCTTAGTAAGGTTTTTCACAAATATTTTATTTAATTTTAGATTGTTGAAAGAAACAAGCTATTGATAGATGAATTAAGAGATACTATAACAGTACCTTCAATTTTTATGGCAAGAATGTTGGCTTGTATTTGTCATATAAGACGAAGTCGAGGGAGACGAGGTTAGTATACATTTTATTTTAATGATACGCCAGGTCAGAAGCACTTTGGGATTGGGACACGCACAGTGGCAGTGTGAGTTATTGAAACTTAATGAGCAAGTATCTTAAACAATGCTTCTTCTAAAAAACCCTCTTCCCAAGAACGTACACAAAGATACACAAAGATGTACCCTTAGATTTTTTTAAAAATTAATACTTAATCCTTTTGGACAAGGAGTTGTGACTCCTGGACACCTTATAACAGGCTGCCTCTGGACACCAATTGGCTTTAATGCAAATACATATATATGTGAATAGAAAACGTGTTTAATATGAGTTTTGTCTTTTGATTCCTATTTGATAGGCTATCTAATATAGAAAAAGGGTACATATAAGATATAATATCACCTAAACGTTCGCTTTAAGGGAGAGTAAATTTATTTTTACATTTTTTATTATAATTTGGTAAGTTGTGGTAATTTTTTAACAACAGAATAGATTTTTCTATTTTTGTTTCTAAATTATAACGCATTAAATTAGATATTGGAAATCGAAATCTTTTTTTTGTTATTGAAAGAAGTGTAGGGAAGGATAGGTAAATATTTTTAACTTGTCCCAAATTAATTTATATTTATGATTTCTGGTTGATAAGGGTACTTAAGTAAATAACAAAATTGATAGTATTGCCTCTAAAAAGTTAAAGTACAACGAAATAATTAACTATACATAAATAAGTCTTATTATAAATTGAATCAATAAAATTATTATAGCTTTTGTTTCCATTGTTTCTCTTATACTACCACATTTAGTTTTTTTTTTATGACCTGTTAGGTCGGTTAGACAACTCTTGCTCTACTAGAGACAAGAGTTTCCATCCTGGGGAAGTGGTTATGGTGCGGTGGTTTCCCGTTGCCTTCTGCACCAGTCGGGTGGCCATTTCTCTCTCAAGATGGTTGCCCCGCCCAGCTAGAGAAAGGGCCAGTGGCTGATATTTGAACCACGGCTAGTGCCTAGAAACACTGCTGCGGTAATCCTCTTAGCCACGACGCCCAACTATTCAGTTAACTTGGTTAAATTCCTTTTTTAATACTTGAAAAAAGAGGATTTTTCCAGAAAAGACAAGTAATATGTTAGCCCCCCTTATTTGTCTTAAAAATAATAATTATAACAAATCTATGTGTATAATATTATAAAAGTAGTAGTAGCATTTGTATTTATATTTCTTTAAAAAAGCGATATATTTTCTCAAAATTATAATTATAATAATGCCATTAGGTCAATGATGTTATATTTCAATAATAAATTACTATTTAATAATTTAAAATGGTTTCAGAGAACACTAGAAATGGCCTTTTACACACCTTAGATGCACAAAATATGTTGAACAATGAATTATCCACGAATGACGATGTTGAATATTTAGATTTGTCGGCCTCTGATAGTTCTCAAGACGAGAGTGAATTATAGTTAAATTTTATTATTATCTTTTTTTTATATGATGTTTTAGACTTAGAATAAAACAAATAACATTGAAATGTCATAAAACCAGTATATTACATGCCTTTCATTTTGTTATCTGTTATAACTTAAAATTGTTTAATCAAGTATAATCTATACTTTTAGTATTAATCAATTTTATTTGAATAAAAAAAGTTACAAGAATAATAATAAGTAAGAAACATTTTTTTTTGTCATCCTATTTTTTCCTGAAATATTTGTTTAAAAGATGTTTGCTTGTGTTGAATTTTAGAGTTAGAAAATTGATTGTTTAGGTGGTTTTTATTTAAATGTCTATAATTGAATTGTGTAGTTTATAATAGATAATAGCATTTACTATTGTGACTACTATGTGGTATGTAGACAGTACAGTATAATAATACAAATTATATTGTTTAAAGTATACAGATTTTTGCTAATTTTTTATATTTATTGAAATATTTACTTGAAACAGTAGTAGGTACTATATTTTGATGTATTTGTTATTGAGAAAGAATGACATCATACAAGTGTTTCTCTTTTTTCCATCTGTGGACACATAAGAAATTTGATTCCAAAAAATGTATAAATTCTTTTTTGTGAAGGTGTATACTAAATATTAATGTTTGTTAATAATACATTTGTTATTACTTTTGATTATCCTAGACTGAGTGTAACCTGCTGTTTGTGTTCTATGACTTAATGTTTTAAAATAAATATGTTCAAATTTTTTTTATCGTTTTCTTAATACAGCGATTGTATTTATAATTCATAAGGCAAAACGACATGTTGCGTTGGTTATCTAAAACTGTATGAATAATAAATATGTATTGTTTATTGCTAATAAATTATTTAATTATTAAGTGTTTTTGATTTTTATAATTTAAATTGCCAGTTATGATTCATTTTTGGAAAATACTTTGATCTAGGATTGTGTTAAAAATGAATGTTTTTCAAGTTAGAGGTAATAGGGTTTTTTTAACAGTATTTACAAAAAAAAATCATAGTTTAAACACTTTTACTCTAGGGTATTTTATCCCTGAACAAATTAGAAATTTGTTTTTATTTAGTAGAACATACTGTTAAAACTCAAAAGAAGAACAAAAAAAAAAAAACCAAAAGAAATGTTTTATTGTCCACCCTAATGTAATATAATATGTTTAACTATATAATGTTTCCGACAATTTGGGGACAGGTTCGTACGAAATATCTCTCTTATGGGAAATATTAGATCGGGGTCAAATTTAAAAAGTGTGTACACCAAAATGTCTTGTTACATTACAGCGCATCGTCAACCGTCAATTGTGCCCTACTTTGTTTCTCGCTGCTCCATCACACACCTCACTATAACAGTGTATTGTTCTCGTGATGGTATTACCGATTCATTATACAATGTGAATGTTGTTCTTTGTTAGGGCTTGTCCGTCATTTTGTGTCGGTACCCTCAATTTCAGTTAACAGCAGCTGGATCCCCCTTGTGCACCAGTGAAAAATGTTAGGATAAAATTAATTCATTTTACTTTAAGTTTAACGCAACGCCGTAGTTAGCGGTGTTGTTTGTTGAATATATCACTGAGGTGGATCAAGACGACCTCACAGGTTAACATGTCTTTAACTATCTTGCATGCATATCTAACAGATCGTCGTGATAGGCCCTATTACTTTACCGTGTTACTTACTTATCTATTTATAATTAAAATCAAACAAATTAGACACCATAATATATACAAATAATTAATTATGATAACAAAATATCATCAAAATCAAAAGCTAAACCCGACTGAAATACCAAAAATAAATTTGAAGTACATACATTTTTTTACTCTATAAAATAATACATTATAAATATATAGAATAAGACAGATGACCGACAATAATATTATACTATTTGCATATTTTATAGGCAGGGGCGGATTTAACAATTTGCCGCCCTATGCTAAAAAAAAATCACTTCTGTAAAATAAAATGTCCTACTTGCCCATCTCGAGTTTTTTCATGGTGAACTGTTTTGTGGGTAGGTTTACCACTGTTTAAGATGGAGAATCTATAGGATGTAATAGTGCTGTGAAGAGGTTGCCTCTTGCTGAGGGGTACTTTTAGCTCCAAGCTGGATGGTGCTGCGTATTAACATCACCCGCTAATAGAAAGGCGCGTGCCATAAGGAAGCTAAGATATCAATAATTATGATAGATGTTAGGTTAATATTGAATGGAATATAGATCATAATTAAATAGGGGTGTAACTAAACGATTATCAAATATCCACTACACCAATTAAGTTAATATTATTGCTTTGAAATAATGTAGAAGAGATGGATTTTAAGAAATGGATCGGGCTTTGATATTAAGATAATTTGCAATAACCGTACTGCCATATCCATCGACGTGGCCAGTTCGAAAGAGGGAATAATTAGATAGATGAAAAGACAAGTTTTGCTTCCTTTTAAAAAAAACCGATGATTTTATTATTTTGAATTTTTAACGGTGTTTGAGACGGTATGTACTTAACTCGGATTCGAACAAATACGTGTAATAATTAATATATATATATATTTTTTTTTCGTTTAAAAAAAAAAAAAATTGTTTTTCATTCAATTGGTGAATATGAGTCGAGTCTCCAAACCAATTATCGGGGCTGTCTGAAACACAAGCCATAACCGTTACGAAACTCTCACCAGCAACCCTTAACGTTCCGGCTGCACTACGGTGCAAATGGGAGCCGGGCACTAAATCTTGCGGCAGACACGCGGGTTTTTAAAAACAGGTATTTCTCTTAAGCCGTGGGATCGTTGTGTTTTTAATGGAAGTCGTCCGGATAGCCGCACACGCACAAAACACTGTAGGGAACCATTAGCTGCGTTAGGACAACATCCGGTCCGGGTCCGCTTTTCCGACTTCCTAGTCCTCATTGCTCACACATTCGTGGATAATCATTTACGCACTCGTGCAGATTGCCACCTCTACCCCGTAGTACATAATATATAATTGTATACCTGTTCTGACACTCATTACACCGTTCCCGCCGACTAGTGCATGGACCGCTACTTTTATACTAATTATAATTTATACCGTCAACGAATTGGGCAACTGCTATTATTGACATTTAAAAACGAGTTTATGTATTAAATACGTATAAGCGGGTCCTTAAAAAGTCGATTTTTTAATTTTAACCTCGACGCCCCCAAAAAAGGTTCTAAATATAATATAAATGAAAAAAACAAAATCGAATAATATTCATTTTAATTTTTAACTTGTGCTTCAAACAAGGGTTGAAGTTTAAAAAGGATTTAACATAGGGTTTCGATACTCGTGTACAAATCAATGCATAAATCTGGTCATCCTTCATAGTTCGAGCTAAAACTTTTTAAGTATTTATAGCTTAGGGTCTGTTAAATACGTACACCATACCCACAAATTTACACCTGTCAAAATCGCTGTCCAAATATGAAATTTTAATGGAAAATAGGTGTTTTTCAATATACAATATAGAATATATTTCATGGTGTATTTTTTATTTGGTCGCTTTAAGACCTCATGAGACTATTTCAGGAAACGAACGCTTTATGGGAAACATATATAACAAACTCTAAAACATTGAGATTTTTAAGTTCCTACGAATGACTATAGGTGTTGTATAGAATTCTAGATTCCTGGTGATATTGTGGTTGTTTCGCTTTACTTGGATATCATTTTTTTATTATGTTCAATATTTCACTCAGTGGGTGTTAAGATTAAATTACTCAGGTTGCCGCCTGACGTATTTTCATTTCGCATACGGCCTCTATCGAGTCTTTCCTTTTAAAACATTATCTCGGTCATCGCCAACCCCTCCCCCCGGCAGTCCCCATAACCGAGTAGTATCTTTATTAAAATACTTACGGGCATAAAATGTAAATTTCCCCCGGCAACGTACACAAAATGTCTTTTTAAAAATGATTCTGCCCGTAAGTCTTAACGACGCGGCGGCCGGCGGCGGCGTCGCTGCCGGAAATGGTTGATCTATATTCAAAAAGACGGGACGACGCGTTTTAAAGTATACTCCTATATTTATATTTAACGTTCTACATGAGCTCTAACGTGGTTTTGATAAATTATTCTTCATTTACTCGTTTTCCCTCGACGGCGTAACCGCAGTTTATTTTTTCGCAGGCCGAGAGCGGAAGAATTCTATTCATTGCTACACCCAATGTCCGTTTCTTCCTTCCTCCGATCCACGTGCTGTGACTATAATATATATATATATATATATATATATATATATATATATATAAGACCAATAAATAATATTTTAGCGGAGAAAAAAAATAACACTACATTATTCAGCGATCCCCGAGGTGAAATTGGAAATGATGAGTTATTATATTAAACATTCTGATCAGTGCGATGCGCAAAAGGGAGTAATAAAATTATTATTATTTTTTTTTATTATATTCGTCGAGTCTTGTATCCCATTTGGCGTATTCGATTAGCAACATGATATTGTAAATATATTATATTTATGTATGTTAAATATATGTTAATGAATTTTCGTGATCAATTATTACATTATATTTCGTTGGTAAGAAATGCAAGATCTATTAATCATTTTAATAGCAGTGACATTCATGGCCCACGTGCCCGGATTTTCTCAGAAGACATTTAATTTAAACATCGACTTACGGCCAAAATCCCAAACGCTATAAAGTATTTGAGTGCGTCGCCATGAAAACGTCCTCGGTCAACTGCTGTCCAACGCCGCTTCTCGTGCAATGACGTTGTACTTTTATGAATATAAATAAAACTGTATTGTATACAAACTTGAAGGAATAATGAAAATATAGTATGAGATAATAGAAAACGTGGATATTTTTGGGTTTGAGCGACGGTGAGTTACATAAAAATGTAGCTAAAAATGGTGTCAATACTTAGTTTTTGTCTTATATACACGCGAGTACGGATTTTGTCTACCGGCAGCGCCGGTGAATAAACATACATAAATAGGAACTATCAATTTTCTCTGCGATCTCGTGTAATATAATAGCGATTCCGTTGTTATCAGATACAATACAGTATTTATAAACTTTTACACAGACACTGGTCCAATTGCTTTCAAACATGTTTACATATGTTTATATATTTATGTATAATGTAAGTACTGACACATGTTATATTCACTTGTAATTGTATTATCTATCTTACGCTTTAAACTTTAATGACCGATTATTATTTTGTTGTTGTATATTTAGATAAATATAACTATTTATTTTTAGAACTGTTTCCGCCGTCACAAGGTCTAGTCTTATAAGCAGAGTTGTGCATTATTAAAATAAAACGTTTATCTAAATAATAATTTAAAAAAATCATTATTTAAATAAAAACTATTCGAATAATTTCTAACTCAAAATTGAAGTTATTTTCAAGTGTTTTTTAAAAAAAAGTAATTAAAAAAATACTTGTAATCAAATTAGTAATTTTAAACATTATCAATCATAATATTTAAACGATTATTATATTTTAAAAATTTCTGCCGAAACATGATTTAATAATACGTCGATCAAAATTTCATATTACACCAATTTTTTCAATAAAAAAGTTAAAAAGTTTTTTTTTATAAAATCATTATTACACTAAAATATCAAAAACAGTTTATCAAGTTAAGAATATTATTTTAAATGGTAGTTTTAAAGGGTAAGGTTTAATAGTTAAATAGCAAACTTAATATTTGTTATTAATCCTCC